AAGTACCTTTAGTCAAAAGTACTTACACCCTGCAACAGATATGTCCAGATTTCTTTGGGGTTGCAGAGAGGATCAGCAATTTGGTATGCTGTCCAAATGAGTCTCGCCACTCTGAGTTCATATGATTGTGTCAGTACATAGGACCAGGCGTTTGGATGTGAACAAGTGCACAAGGAGGTGTTCAAACACACGATGAGCCTGGACAACTCTAGTAACTTAGGGCTTAGATATAGAATTTTTAATAAGTCAAATGAAGAGAGGATATTTTTATGCTGCAGTTATTTCAGCAAAATCCTATCCTTGAGATAGCTTTGAGAGAGAGCTTAGTCTCTTAAGCTTTTCTGCTCTTCTTCTGCCCTTGGGCACTGCAGAACATCCCATCCGGCCTATGACTCAGGCCAAACATCCGGCTGTCGTTTTAACTCAGACCTCTGTCTAGCTCTTACGCTTTGGTTACGTCTCTGTTAAAGGCTCCTTTCTGCATAGTGTCTTCCACACAATTAAAAATTCTCATTCAGGTTCCTATTACCTCACAGCTGGAGTGTTGCTCCTGTTCTGTGGCCTGAAAATGCAGACCTATGAAGTTAATGGGACGTGCTGAATGAAAGGGGCAAAACCCCAGACTCCACACATCTGTCTCCTAGGCCATGATCTGACCCCTCTGTGTGGTCCAGTACCCAGCACTGGTGCCCACAGAACTAGCATGGGGACAGGAGTGTTCCTCTGTATACTCGAGACATGCAGCGTCTTGTCTTTCTTACGCCCTGAGTCCTACTCACTTGTACTCAATTCAGATTTATCAGTGCATCTATCAGCACGTGATTTGAAATCAGCTTGTGTAAGCTTTCTAGATTCCTCTGTGAAACAGTGCAATTACATTTCAACATTGCTTTACAGTCTGGATGTGAGTAACATTTGGATAAGTCAACATAACAATTTCAGAAATGTGGACCTTCTCTGTGTAAACAGGCAAACTCTCTGACACCTTCCTGTTGTATTTTGTGCACTCATCTCCTGGAAGTACTGGATGTTTTGTTTCTTTCTGTGTGCCTACATGAACTGTGAGTGGTTAGAGGAGAAGTAGTAGAAAAGGGCAGCACAGAGTTGTGATTCAAGACCAAAAGCAAGCTTAAAACTTAATGCAGCAGCTTTTCTCATTGTAACTTTAGCTTCTCTCTCTTTCTGAAAGACTTAGCAAGATGTAGCGAACAAAACATGGCCACCCCTTTTCTTCATTAAAGGAATGAGAATAAGCCTAGCAGGAGAGGTACAAAATACCAGTTCTGAAAGCTCTTCTGAGGTGTCTCCTTCTGGCTAAGGTGGAACCCAAAGCCAAGTTAAAATACTCTGTGTTGATTTTCACTGAGCAATGGGGGATTGATACGCCATGAATAAGCTGACCAGCTGCTTTGACTTGCGGAGGAGTTCTGTAGTGTGTAGACAGAATAGCCACTTTCTTTCTTGGATTACATGGTAAAAGTTGTTAGTGTTGTGGACAGCTCAAAGGAGAGAATTTGGTATTCTTGAGGGTTTTACTCTGAGCTGGGTTTGTCACTCATCCGGCAATCTGAGAAGTGCAGATTAGCTTGACAGGTTCGAAGATTCTAGTTCTAATGCAGACTACAAGGACTTAAATACATATATGTTACGCTAAAATATATTTACCTAGGTGTCAGTTTGAGTTCTTGTCAGTACATGAACATTAAATTACATTTAAATTGCAAAGTCACCTATGAACTTGAGATATTTCTAACATGCCAACATTTAAAATAGTAGTCATTTATATTTAGATTTGGGAGTGTTTCTTTAGCATCTTAACTACTGCTTTGAGACCTAATTTTAGACACACCCACTGAAAAATGTTGGCTTTTATTTCCTATTGTTTAATTTGCAAAAGAATATGTGTTTTAAAAGTGCTTTAAAATCTTCGGATCAGAGAACTTCTATAATTATTAATTATAAAATTCATTATTCATTTTAAATGCATTATTTAATAGTAAATCACCTTTTCCTGTCCTGCTGTGTACCAGTTAGTTTGCTGCCTGTACTTCACTCATCTTATAAGGTGGAGAACAACCCTTGTGCCTACAGTTAAGCCTCTCTGCAAGTACATAATTGGGTTGGAGATGAAGGTAGGAAAGTCAGGATGAAAGTGCTAAGTACCACTGCCAAACAAGATTTTTGTTTCTTCTCTTTACGCAAATTTAGATTGAAAACCGTAGGTAGAAGGAGAAAGTATTTCCATTCACTCTGCTGCTAGCTGAGGTGTATCCTACTGAAGTTTCATACTACTGTGAGAGAGGTTCACTTTTAAACATTAGTGTTAAGAATTTCTTTCCTGTTTTTCTTCAGTAAAGAACCCTTTTCTCTGTACTTGTTAAAAACAGTGTGAGATGTTTTAGTAATCTAGTACAATTTATCTACAGAATGACGGTACCAACAGTATATTTGTGTTGTCTAGTGTTTTATCGATACTTTTACCAGGTAACAGTAAGAGATACCATTCTATTTAGAAGGGTCTGATGTGGAGAACATATTTAATTTTTTCCTGAAAAGGAACGTAAATTATGTACAAATTAAGCCCTGCCCTTTTTTTGGCTCTTAGCCCAGCCACCAGCTACAAAGGAGCAGGAACAGCAAAAGGGCCTGAGCACACGTGAACATCTCTTGTTTGTCTGAGAGTACCTGATGCCCTTGTGTTACTAATTGTCCACAAAGAGAAGTCTCACCATCTTACTTGGACAGGAAGGACTGGGAGAACGCTGACATCCAGGATTCTACTAAGGGTACTTACTACTTCTTTAGCTATTTTTAAAAACCTGAAATGTTTAACTTTTTGTGGGAGGTAGTTTCTGCATTTCTAATATTTGAAATGACAGCAGGAGGGCTAGGAGCAACTTACACCGCATACACTGCATAAGATGTAACTATGCTCGTCGTGCAGAATACGTTAATAAATCAGAATAGCTCCTATAAATTTAGAAAAACAAGTTACTGATTCTGGAAATAAGTAGTTTCTCACAGGAAACTGTTTACATTCAAAATTTGATAATAGTTTTCTAATTCCAGTAAGTAAATTAATATATTAATGCTATTAGTGCTTTTTAAGAAAGAGATTTCTAGCAGAATCTTCAAACTTTTTGACATGACCTCCATCTTACTTAGTATATAAGGAGATATTAATGACAAGTATTCAAATATATGCCATTTTTCAAATATGTCTTTTTATGGGGTTTTTTATATGTCTTTTTTCCTTGTCTATGTTTGACCTTAGTTTGACCTTTTATAAGCTTGACCTTAGTTCTCCTTACAGTGTATAAAAAGGTGCTTTTTCACTGAAGACAAGGCAAAAGAATTTTATATGGCTTAAAACTACTGCATAGCATAATTTGGAGATGCAAATTTAAATTTCCTTGACTGAAGAGAAGCAGCATACTTGGTTTAGTTTTATTATATTAGTTCTAATTTAAATTTTGTTTGGAAATAAGGATTATTTTTCATTTTTGAAATGTCAGGACATTTTTCAACGTAAGAATCTTGTATTTTCTACTGTGTTATGCCACTCAGTTCATTGAATTTAGTGAGCTGACATTGGTGTTAAAACAGTGTAACAGCATGGAGAATCTGGTACTTATTTCCTTGTGTCTGAAATCTAAAAAAGGATGCATAAAACAATTTTTTATACTTTTGTGATATTTTTCTTAACTAGGCAATGGCAAAAGTAGTTCGTAAGTTTGTGTACTGTGGGCTGCGTTTTCCGTTGCTTTTCTAGTACTTTTTTGTCACCCTGGAAGTGATGAAGCTGCCAATTACCAATCATGCCCAGTTTCTGCATATGCTGAACCCTGGTGTAAACAACTGAGAGTAAACTATGCTTAACTATCTATGCCCAGGTGGTGGAAGATGATGTACTCTCATGTGTGGGGATGTTGTTATGAGGACCCACTCCAACTATGAGAGAACCATAATAGTCTGCAGGAATTGGGTCTATATTCCTATATTAGGCTGGCAGGCACCTGGTTTGGCTCCCACTTTACAGTGACTTAATCCAGATGTATTTATTCTGGGCTTCTATTTGTGGACATAAGAGCCTAGATCCTGATGTGCAAACAGGACAACAGGGGCTGTCTATGCAGGAATATTAACTGGACTGATTTCTCAGAGTATATTGTGATCTGGAATACCAGTCATTTTAATTGCAGAAGACGAGTACATTTCTAAAGAGAAGTGATTATTGTAGAATAAATTAATTTTTAATACAGAACAAAGCATACAGATGGGTAACTCCTGTGGAATTGCTTATCACAGAATGATATTCTAATCGGTTTTCCCAAGTAGATGAACCCACAGGGCAGATGGCTTATCCCTTCTGTTCCTTGTCAGTTTAGCTATATATGAGTGCCCTAATGAGAACAATATGGACAAAAATTAGTAAGAACTGGACAGAAAAGTAAATGTATTTAGTTTGTAACAGAAAACTTTAAAATGGTAACAAGTTTTTATCATTACTGAAGAATGTGAAAGAAAGTGGATTTCAAAAGCAGAATCAATCCTTTCCTATATTCGTTACCTAATTTTTTTTTTTTCCTGAAGAGTAGGCTAACATCTATTTGGCATTAATATATCAGAAGTCAGCGAGTTTTCAAGGATAAAATGTTTGATACACCAAGCATTCAAAAATGTAATCATACCTGTTAAGGTTAGGTAATTATAATGCCTCTAAAATCCTGTAATTTCTCTTCATTTCTATATAACATGAAACTTGTGGGTATGAGGAAAAGACTAAATCTTGAAATATAAAGGTATTCAGACTCATTACTCATTGTACCATCACCAAAATTAGGAATTTATACATTTAAAACATGTTAAGGTAATAAAAATACATAAATAAAAATAGTGTGGTCACAAAAGGAGCATCGTAACGTGAAATTTACTGAAATTACCCAGATCTCAGAGTATTATGAAGGAATTTTCAAGAGATCTTCTATCTTGCAGTCGTGATGCAAGAAGGATCTACAGAAGAGCTCCACAGCAGCCAACCATGTGAGAGCAAACAAAACGAGCACGCTGGACCACTGGTTAACAGAAGCAGAAAGACAATAGTGACGGGAGGTGGAGGCTACCTGGGATACAATCTGGGCTGTGCTCTTGTTAGGTCAGGAATTGCCGTTGTTCTGTTTGACGTACGGAAACCTAAATGGGAAATTCCAAATGGAGCAGATTTTTTCAAGGTATGTTGAAATTACATATTTAACAGCAGTGAAATAAAGTTGTACTGATTTATGCACATTAGCAAGGCTTCCTCTTAAGGATTTTTGATAAAAGCATTTATTGAAAAGGCTTTAAGGACAATAAGAAGTCATGGTAAAATGTCTTCATATGCATAAGTAACTGATTAAGAGATAGCGAACAGGAGTCCAAGTGGTCAGTTCTCTCAGTGTCACCAGTGAAGTTCTGAAGAGTCCTGTGTCGGGAGTGCCATTCAACACATTCGTAGCTCACCTAGGTGAAGGAGCGAACAGTGAAGTGACAAAGTTTACTGCTCAGGAAAATTACTTAGAGGATAAAGGTGAGAGCAAGACAGGGCAATAAAGGTGATCACAAATGTAGAATGACTGCCATGCAGAGACTGACTGAGGAAACTAGGACTTTCCAGTCTGGGAAAGAGATGACTTGGGAGCGGGAGAGCTCTACAAACTGTGAGTGGTGTGGAGATGGATAGGGGCTGACTGTTCACTGTTCTTTCCAGTACAAGAAGAAAGGGCCATCAGGTGAAATGAGGAGTTGTCAGTTCAATACAAACAAAAAGAGGGGGGGTTTTCATGCAGTGGGTAAAAGGCATATACAAAGCCTTGCCAAAAATTTACTTCCATGGGAGATTACTAAAAATAGGTAAGCTAAATTAAGCTCAAGAAATCTTCTGAATGAAAATATGTGGAGACTGGAAGAGTATTCTGGGGGAAAGTGCCACATATGCTTGCCCTGTTTCTGCTCTTCCCAGGGCACCCATTTATGAGCACTGATTCCTTTTGATTCTTAACAATTCAGGAATTTATTATGTCCGCAAAAGAGGGGGAATGAAAGAGACCTCAAATATTTAGTGGCTCACAGCCATCTGTGGAGGACAGCATCCCCCACTGCTCCCTGATGTGGGGAGCACCAACTCCTCACAGCTGCTCCACCCACTCAGGTTTGGGGGTCTGGGTGCACAGGGGGGCACCAGCACTCCCTGCACGCTCCTGTCATCTTGCACAAGTTCTAGCTAGGCGCAGGGTATCGTTCAGCTGATCTTGTCTGAGCATTTAGTGTGAGAACTCTTAGACACCACCACTAGAACTAGAAAGTTGATGGCAAAGCTGAGAGTGATCACAAGATCTTTGTCCCAGGGCCTATCGAGGTGATGCCAGATTTTCTCTTTCTATCCACATCACCATGTGGGACAGGGAGGCAAAAGGGGATGCATGATACTGCTCTGCATGGCTGCGCGGTGGACAGAATACTGAGCTAAGCAGACCTTTAGTCTGACCCAGGATGGTTGTTCTTATGTTCAATTTCATAAACAGCTTTTACAGAATATGGAATAGAGATAAAGTAATATTGAGGAACCATTCAAAAACCATGAGCTTGATTTGTTAATGATGTAAATCCACATAATTTGATTTAAGTTAGTGGATTGATGGCAATTTACATCTTTTAAAGGAGACTCAAGAGATCTAACAAATGATCTTCTGAGAACAGTTTTTTTATAATTCAATTTAAAAAGAATAAATATTACAAAGTGCAGGTGAATTACCTAGAAAATGGAACTATGTAGTCCTAGTAAATAAAGTAATAAGTCACTTCAGAGATCTGAGCCTTGATCAGTGATTTGGATATTGCTAGTATTATTTATACTGGTTAGCTATTTTATCATTTGATTGAAGGTAGGAAGCGTAAGTCAGCCATATTTGTGAAATACTTTGTCAACCTCAAAAGAAAAAAGCTGACGTTAAAGACTGCTTAGATTACCCTAGTATTACTGCCAGCCTTTTTTTGTGTGATCATTCTATCAATTTCATTACAGTAAATTAAATAAAATCTAATATTTTGAAATATCATAATTCTGAAAAGAAAGCTGTTATATTTTTATTGACATGTATGTGGAGTATTATTCATATAGTATTACCTGTTATACAAAAATGCAATATAATATTTTAAGCACAGCATAGCATTTGGTACTAGATATAGTGTGTGTGTATTTAATACAGTACAGTGTTCAGTACTGTACAGCATTTCATATAATGTGATTATAATACACTAATGTATACTAATACAATATTAAATGCATATAGTGTGTACTTTTTTGTTTTAATCTTGTGCAAAACTGTAATTAAATTTATCATGCTGTGCACCTAAAATAAAGCTTAGATGGGCAAAGAGACATTTGTCCAGATTGCACAAGTCAGTTCTTGAGGTGCTAACAGAGAAGGAGTTCTCTTACTGGGTGATTCCATGGCAAACAGCTGAACACTTCCTGCTGTGATTTATTGTCCCTGGGGCTTGAATCTCCGGCCCTCAAGCATATGCTGCTCCCATTCAAGTCAAACAAGTTTTGCCAGCCTGCAGGGCTGCAGGACTAAGTGTGAAAATACGCATTATAATTGAAGCCAACAAGACTCATATTTGTTTTGCAACAAAATACTGACAAAATTCTTAGTCATGGATTTTTCTCCACATTTATAATGTTCTATTTAATGCTAGTTAAATATTGTGAAAAATAGATGAGAATTACTTTAGATTTTCATTAATGGCCATAGTTCTATAGAGAATGTAATGAGCTCTACCTGTCAAAAACCCATTCTTTTCTCATTTTACAGGGTGATGTGAGGGATTATGATGCAGTGTTCAAAGCATGTGAAGGGGTTGACTGTGTTTTTCATGTGGCTGCATGTGGAATGTCAGGATTAGAACAAGCAAGTACAATTTTTCTAACATTTTCTTTCTTTATTCTCATGAAAGTAAAAATTTGTCTGCATGTAGCAAAGAATGTAATTATATGACATATGTGTCAGACAGAAGTTAGTTATAAAGGTCAAGTCATCCGTACGGGCAACAAGGGAGGTATTCCTTAAATAATAAATGTCAAAGCACAGAACGAGTGTACTACACAAAATACTCTAGAAAAATGAGAGCATAGATTTAAGATCTTGGATAAGAAGGCATATCCCTTTTCTCTAATCTGAAGAAGTGTGACAATATTGCTCTAGAACTAATGTTGATGCATTTTCTTCTTGTGAACTCACAGTCGTGAGGAAACAGACCAGCAACTCAGTATGGTTATGCTAAATAACAGTGATAGGTAGAGGGTGTTATCAAAAAACTCATGAAAATACTAATTTATTTCTAGGAACAGGACAGATTGCCACTGGAACAAGAATTTGTGAAAGATTTCAGGGAGCATAACCCCTGCTTGTAATTCCTGTTTCTATATCTTGGATTATCTGGGGTGCGATAAAAAATGAAAGCATTATGATTTCCTTTCAGATGCATTTTATCTTTTATTTTTCAACTTTATTTATTCATACACTGAAGAAGACAATAAAAATGAGAACTGCTAGGACTCATTGTATGTCAGAAGGACAGGGAGCTGTAACACATACATCACAAAAAAGCCCCAGCTGTTCTAGATCTGGCAGTTGTAACAATTGTATCGTGAATGTGACTTATTCAATTAATTAGGTATTGTGCAAACTCTATTTCTAGCTTCAAAAGAAAGACCAGATTGAATCCATAAATGTCGGAGGCACAAAAATAATAATTGATGGTATGTACCTAGATTTTCTTTCCTTACATCTGATCCAAACCATTAATTAAAAAACCTCCTAATTGGATGTTTCCTGTGTTGATTTGGCAGTACAATGAGGCTCTTCTCTCCCTCCTTTCAGAGCATGATGTAAAGCTAGGTATGCAGGTCCCATTAAAACTGGTAGATTTGCCACTGGTTTGAATTGGGGATAGGTTTTCAACCTGGGCTTCATTCCTTGGCAGACCAGCTTAAACTCTCATCCACGTACTGGTTATTTTTTCCCTTTCCTCTGTGTAATGGAGAAGTGTTATTCTCTTTCCTCATAGAAATAACCTGAGAGATACAGTACTATTGGTTGTGTTGTAAATGTTTGGTGACCGGAGCCACAGATGTGCTACATATATTTAGCTACTTTTTTATCACGGTAATATAGAAAATCTTCTATCCTTTCTGTTCATCTGTCTAAATGTGATCCCTTTTTATTATATACTGATTGTTACGTACTGTCTCTGGAAAATGTTAGTAGATTTCTTTCTGTATATTCAATTCCAGAAAGAACATTTCAAAGTGTATTGTAAATACCAAAGCTACTTTCTCTTTGCTTTTCCCTCAAAAACCAAATGGCAAAAAAATCAAAAAGCAAAACAGTAAAAGCACTTTTAATTTAGACCCATTTTCATGCTGCCTGTGGGTTATTACTGAAAAAAGCAGGAATAATTAGAGTGAAATGGTAGGCAAGTAGAACTCTAAATGAGTTAGAGGGAAGAAGTTGCCACATACTCTCTTCTTCTTACCCCAACCTCTGAACCCACAGAAACATGTCACATCAAATTTCCATAGGCTCCCAACAAAGCAAGAATCTGGGAGGAGCATGAACCTGTTAATAACAGATTTTATTATTGTATTTTGTTCTAAATATTTACAACACAGTAATTACATTCATTATTTTCAAAATGAGCCAATGGGCCAACTGGACTTGACTGCTCTGTAGATTCTAAAAATTCCTGACTTTGAATCTTAATTCACTTAAACTTTAGAAGCATTGTTAAATCAAAAGGAAATTTATGTTATTTGAGTTTGCAATTACATATATGCAGCAGAATTTAGACGTAATATCTTAACACCCAACTGGAATCCATAATTAAGACTTTGTTTTGTAAATAATATTAATTTAATTTGTATTTAAGGTACTACTGATTATGTACTAACAGCATATGTTTCCTGCTAACATGTCAGTTGTCACTTATGAACAGATTGACACAAATGCAGTTTTGTCACACACCAGAGAGGGCCAGTACATTTTCTCACATTACTTCACTTACCTGCACAGGCATGCATGAAACTGTGGTGCAAGAAGCAGTACTGCTTACTGCTCACTGCTGAAATAAGGGCAAAAATAATGACAGGCTGTTCTCTGCACCTCTAATACCCCTACAGAAAGAAGCAGGGAGTTTTCCCGTGCTATTTGATCACAAGAAATATTCATACTCATCTCCTTTTTATTCAATTTGGAAAATGAACATGTTTTAAGAAATGTTTCTGAAGTAAAGGGGGAATTTTTTCTTTCCCCTGTGAAGATGATTTCTCTATCCAGCTGATGACCAAAGTCCAGTGGTGATATGATAGTTGCAGGTACCAAATCATGAAACGTTTGGTGACCACAATATGTAATATTTACGTAACAGATACTTGGGATGAAAAATTCCAGCTGAATGAAAGATAATATAATGTTAAATGGTAAGTTAATATTAAAATTAAAAGATTACTTTTTCTATAAATGTAATGTTTCTTTTCAAAAAGAGAAGCTGCCAGTTCATATGTTGTTTCTCACTATTTTTGTTTTAAAATAATTTATTTTGTATACCATTGTAGTCTGCAAACAAAGAAATATCCCTAGACTGATATATACCAGTACAGTGAACGTGGTATTTGGAGGGAATCCTATTGAAGAAGGAGATGAAGAAACCGTGCCGTATTTTCCACTGGAAAAGGTACTTTGTTTATGTGATGGCATGGCATTTACTGTGCTCTAAAGGATAGATTATGTGTAGGCTGTTCTGAGAGGAGAAGCTGGTTTACTATAGATCACATCAAATGCTATGAAATTATTTTTCATTAATAAAAATTACCCATGATCCATGAAGAAATATTCAAATCATAGTAGCTTTAAGTGGCTATAACTAGACAGATTTGAGATGATAAAATACCTAAAAATGACTAAGAAAAGTGGAATGTGACATTTAATAAGAATGTTTTAAGAGGAAAGGCTTTCAGGGGACCATCCGCTATGTAAATACTGAATATTATGGCCCCCCTAAGCCTTTGCATTGAAGAATATTGTTAAATATCATATGTTACATCTTTATTCATACCCACTTTTGCTTCTTTGAAGTTCCCAAACCTTGCTTTCTTGCTGCAGGCTAGGTGGTAGTTACAGTCATCTCAGGGCTGCCCTGAAATACCTTTTCTTTCTTTGCTGTGATCATTTAGGAAATATTTTCTAGCTGAAATCTGAGGCTCAATGCATTCTGGCCACTCTTCCCATTTGTTCTTTCCTGCTCCCAGCACACTGCCTGCAGTTAAAAGCTATAATTTTAGAACGTACATCCTGTGTCCAGGAATCCTGAATAGGACTGACTACTACTCTGTTGGTGCCTCCTGAGATACTTAGTTGGATATGTCAGTTTGTGCACAGCCTGTGCAGCACCGCAGACTTCTAAGAAAGCATTTCAGGAATTTGCAATTAGTTACATGTGTCTGAGCCCTAATCATATGTTTTCTCTGGTGGTGATCGTGTAATAGCAAGCAGCAGAGGCAGGTGAGGCAAGGAGGGAGGTGGAGCAGGTGGATTAAGACACCTGAGAGTAGAAACATTTTTCCATGGTGGGATTTTTAGGTACATTTTTCAATATAAAGTATGGCAATACAAAATTCAACAGATACATAAATAACCTTGTGTGGATAAGTAATCACTAAACCAGCATGTGCTAACTGTGTTCAGAATCCTATTGTTTAAATACACTTAGGTGCAATTTTCAAAGTTAATAGTAAAAGATACAGCCGGGACACAACTGTTTATAACTTCCCAAATAGCTTCAATAAGAAATTGAAACATTTTTTATAAAAGTCTGAATTTTTAATTTCATATTTAACGTACAGCTTAAAAAAATCTTTTCTGATGCAAAATGGATGTTTTTTCAAAATAAAATTATCTGACCCACCAGAACACTTGGCTTGATATTAATTTTTTCAGTACATCCAGCACAAAAAGTGAGTTAATACTAGTGGACTTAAATTCACTCTGAAGCTAAACTTGTGCAACTAAAATGTAAGTCTGATAAGTTTCTTTGTCATAAACGAAGTATATATTTGCTATATCTTGTTGTTATTTCTAGTTTGGTTTTACTCAGCTGATGTCTACAAGATGGTTAGATTTAGATGTTATCAGACATAATACGTTTTTCTTTACAGATGCAATAATGTAGTTAAAATGTTGATCATATTCTGCCTTTCTTTATAGCAATTTAATCATTATTCTAGAACAAAGGCAATTGCAGACCAAATGGTTCTTGCTGCTAATGGAACTTTACTCAAAGGTACATATAAAACATCTGGGGTTTTCCTATCATTGGTAGTGCTAATGGGTATTCCATTCTCTGGTTACTCATTCATCAATAAATAGTATACTTTAAATTAACTAAATAAGCATTTATTTTGTTTGTTTCTGCTCCTTTCTTCAGTGGATGATTAATTTTTTTACGTGTATACCCACACACATATAAGATTATATGCAAACAATAGATGGGGGAATTCAGAAAATTTAACCTTACTTCTTCCAATAATCTTAAAAGATTACCAATTTTACAATAGATACAGGATTTGTGCTTTTATTCCCCATTCAGTCTATCACTTCTCTGATAATACCAATCTCTAAGCGCTGTCCAATAGGTCATTCCCATAATCCCCAAAGGCTTGCAGGTGTCTGGCAAGAATAATTGCAGTTTCTTAAACAGATTAGCAATACCAGGGTCATGTTGACTTCTAAAGTTACACATGTGTGAACAGCCATGGCTAAAAAAATCTATCTGTACATAGCAAGGGAAATCTTTATCTTTGATTCTACATGCATATTTTGCTATTCCTACTGACTTCTCTCAACTGAAAAGCTGGCAAACATAAATTAGGTGGCGATTCAATTTTAGCATCCTTGATTAACTGCTGAGCAAATGCCTACCACCTGTTACACTTGCCCACATAAAAGGTGTAATTGTGCCTATTCTCAGGGGTCAGAGGCGTCTACTTACTGCTTCCCATGTAGAGCTTAAAGTATCCATTTTAACTTAAAATAATCTAACTAATTCAAAAGCTTCTGAGACCTCTTCCATTCCTTTGTGATGCCATTGAGCTGCAAGCAAGCAAGGTGTCTAAATACAGCAAATTGAATTATCTTCTTCCAGTATTCCATGTGCCTGCAATGATGGGCAATATATATGATATAAACTTGTATCTATAATAAATAGCAAAAGTCAATCAAGCATATCTATAGGAAAGTTTGATTTATCCTGTCCCTATTCAAACTCTTCTGTGATCAGAGGGATTCAGTTTTTTAGGTTGCTAAGCTAGGGGCTTTCACGAACTATTGAATTCAATTTTATAAGAGAAGTGAAAAATCACATAGAATGGTCAGACTGATCCTGTACTTTCACAGTGTAAAATTCAGACAATATATGTCAGCTATATGTTGATATCAGAGCTGTCTGAAAATCACATTTTGTTCTCTCTCCAAGGAGGCGATAGGCTCCATACTTGTGTGCTTCGTCCACCAGGCATATATGGACCAGAAGAGCAGCGCCACCTGCCACGAGTAGCCGTATGTGTTATGTAGTCAGCTCTGGAGGACACTACAGTAGTTGTAAGGGCATAACACCAGTGGAAGTATCTTGATTACAGTTCTTAATAATTCCTCCAGGAAAACTGTTGTGAAAGCTTGGTGACAGGTCATATAATGCAAGACAACAAATAGCACACTATGAGCATTGCAGAAATGGCAAGGATCAAGCTGTACTTCTAAGTGAAAAGAAAAAATGCAAGGCTGAAATGGCATGGTAGAAGAACAAGGTTTGCATGCCTGATCATTCAATGGAAATATTGTCTTTTAAATATGCACTTTAATTTCAGCCAAACACTATAACATCTCCATATTTTACCACTGCATATCAGTGCAACAGTCCTTGATTTACAAAACCACCAACTAGTTGTTTTTTTCCTTGTGCCACGTTTCTTGTGCTGTAATTGTACACAAACACAGCAAATTCTAAGTACTCAGGCTGAGCCAAAATGAATACGTTATGCTGCATAATAAAGGAATAACGCAGTTATTTCATGTTTTCTGTTTCTACAGGTAAATATCCAGCGGAGATTATTTAACTTCAAGTTTGGGAATCACAAAGTTCAGATGAACTGGGTTCACATAGGAAATCTAGTACAAGCTCACTTACTAGCTGCTGAGGCTCTCACATCTGAGAAGGGTTATATAGCTGTAAGTAAATGTTACAAACATTGTGTCCAATTTTTGATGTTTTGAGATCAAAGGTTCTCCAAAAGGTCGTGTGCTAAATTCTCAAAAATGGCGTGTTGGCTCCACAAGCACATGGACAGGGCAAATGCATTCTGCTAATAGTTGATGTTGGTTTTTCTGTTTTGAAAAAATATAATTTCCTGTTTGATTGGAGGAAATAGTATTTTTAACCAGGTCAATACATTCACCATCATAAAAATCTATATATTCTGTTATTGTTTTGAAAATAGGTTCTGATTCTAGATGCATAAAATTTAGAGCAACCATTCTGAGGCATTCCAGTTCAATTTTCAGGGTGGAAAATTCCAAAAAGAGATGTACAAAATTAACGGACAATTTAAAATGATTTTTCTTCTACTGGTCACAATTGCAACAACAATCTGAGGACTGTGAAGCATTACAGAACTGACAGTGCTGCAGCAGCTGCTACACGCACAGCTCCAGAAGTCTCCAGCTTCATTTATATTAGTAGGAACATATAGACAAGAGGTACAGATACGTCTGAACATCCCTCCATGCGCCGACAACTAGTTAAATGCTTGGAAGCTATGCAGCTGGTTTAGAATGACATAATGCCCAAACTCCCAGGGTCTGCTTGGGTGTTCATAGTGCTCACAGTTGGGTAGGCTCCTCACCCAGAGCACAGCTGTCAAGGAGGTATTGCCTGCACATTTAGAAAGCTGGAAGAAGATAGACTGGAAGCCAAAAGTGGATTCAGGCACTGGGACATGTCCCACAGACTATATATTCTGAATTTGTTTTAATCAGAAAATTAGCCAGAGTTGGAACTTGACCTCAAAAAGCTGTGTTTATTAAATGCTGTCAGCGTTGCCACCTCTGTTGGACTCATGAAGATAATTCTGTCCCCTGCACATCATGAAGAACTTAATGCTCTAACAGCTGGGTTACTACAGAGTGAAATCAAGCTCTGATCTACATTACACCATGGTTAATCATGATTAGCTCTACTACCACCATGGGGTTACCCAAAAGTGTGAGACGTGTTTGAGATCACAGTGAAGTCCAATGAAGGTAGTTTGTTGAGCTGATTTGTGTACATTCGCCATATGCATGCTGGTGCGTTATTCACAAAAGCAGGAAAGGTAAGTAGGTATGAGAGAAAGAAAATGCCATTCCATGTGGAGTGTTTTTCTAATTGTTTTTCTCTGCTTCTTTAACAGAGTGGTCAGGCGTATTACATACATGACGGTGAAAACGTCATATTTTCTGAATGGATAGTCCCTTTAGTATGTATTGCACATGCATTTACCTCTAATGCACTGTATGGGCCCTATTCATATCATTAACTAAAAGACCACACTAACTAAATGAAGTTCAGTGCACATTAATTACTGAATTATTTAACATTAAAGTCAGTCTGGTTCTCCCTGCATATCCCAAAGTTCCACTGGCTTTAAGGGAAGTTTTGGATATGCACAACTGTGGAGGTTGGCCCTTACCATTTTGAGAGAATTTAGCTAAGCAGTATAGAACCTGCTACAGAACAGTAGCATTTCTGTGAAGCAACCTCTCAGTGCACGTAAAGTTCTTCTATTAGCATCTGGCAGGCCTTTTATAACCATTGTTTATTTCTTTCTTCTGCCATCAACTGCAGCACAAAAGGGAAGGCCATTTAGAATCGTATCTTAAAAGCTAAAAAGAGGCAACATTATATTTTCATAAATATCAGGCTGGGATTTTAGAAACATGCTAAAGTGTTGATCCTGCAATGCCAACACAGAAGAGACTTCCAGGAAAATGACTGCAGTAGAATGATGGGCCTGTATCTAAATGTAATTAAGTATTCCAGTCTCGGTCACCCCTTGGAAATACCATTGTTTCCCCTTTACCATCCAATTGTATTTGAAGGGTGGGAGGCAGACGCCAAAGAATGAGTAGTGGGTTTCAATTGCATTTCTTACTACCGGTATTGGTAGGAAGTTTAACTGGAAAAAAAGTTTAGATACATGTTTTATCAATATTCATGTTTCCATTTTCATGCTTCATTGACACCCTCCATTTGCTATGAAATCTCTGTTATTCTTTCCTTTTATACCCCTTCTAGTTTGAAAAATTAGGCTACAGGAAACCCTGGATACATATTCCTGTTCTCCTGGTTCATATAGCAGGTAATAAAATACATATTTAATTATTGTGCTTTTTTTTTTTTTTTAATTCCTATAAAGCTACATAATGGTTTTATAAAATTCAGGGACCCAAACTGTAGGAATTGTATAACAACATTATTCCAGTTAATACAGTAATTGTTTATGCCATTTGGTATTAATTGTGCCAGATAAACTTTAAAGGCTATTCATAAACTGAGTCCATCATGTACATTATAAATTAAACACTGCCTTCTACCACCTTAATTGCATCCTCTGATATCAGTAGGAATTCTAGGATGCGCAATGTCGGTATTATCTCAGTTTATTGTTATCCAGCTGTCTCATTAAGTAACTTTCTGTTTCACAGCCACTGTGATGGAATATCTGCACCTGATACTAAAGCCAGTTTTTAGCTTCACACCTATCTTGACAAGGAATGAGGTAAATATTTAAAAAGAAGGAATGTTTGTGTATTTCTGACCAAAATTCTTATGAAGTACGTGATACGCCTTTTGGATGCAGACAGGATTGTCTGCATTACAGCTCTGTTGTTCTGCTCAGGGTGTAGTCCATTCAGGGCTTACACAGTCATTTTGTAGCCTGATTTTTCCATGCCGTCCTGGCCACCCCTTATAAAATCGTCAGAAATTAAACCTTACTTGAAGACTAGATGATCTAGAGAAACATCCTAGAGGTGCAAGACAGAGCGACTAACAGGGAGCTGGCAGGAAGAGTAAAACAGGCACTACATCGTCATTTCCAGTGACCTGTCCTATGCTGTGGAACTACTTGTTAAAGCTTCCTTTTGGTCCAAGAGTACAGAGCAAGAGTCTCGGGTCAAAGTGGTAGCAGGTATCATAATACCATGCTAGCCAATAATTATAAAGTCTACTAAAAATAATTCTAAATTGGAATGAAAAGTTGATTTTCTGGGAAAAAAACCCAACCAACCAAACAAAAAAAACCAAACCCAAACTTCTGGACAAACTCATTTTGATCTACCTTATGTTTTTGTACAATATTATGATTTATAACATAAGCCAAAATGCTTTAACTAATCTATCATCTAGTCTCTTACTGTATTGTAGCATGTAACATAACAGGACACTGAAGAGACTGAATGGACCTCACTAACTTCTGCTGTAGCTTTTCAGTTATTCCACAATTTATCTATCTCTTTTTATACTTACTTCTACATTAGTTCTACATCTGAAGCAGAAATCCCTGAGACTATGCAACTTAAGCACTCCCACAGGTACCATGCGTTCAGAGATGGAGGATATAATTCTCCACAAGTGCGTGTTTTCCACCCCTTAGATAGGCATTTCTGCAAAGTGGAGAAGCCACACCACTCTCCTCCAACATATTCATCCAGTTCCATTGCACATTTCTCTGTACAGAAGAGCCACTCTGAGGGAAGCGTGCTGATCTGTTGCATGGCTTTTCCTTAGTTTTTTATCTCACATTCACAAGTGAGAAATCACTGTCATAGACTCCTTCTGCACCCAGTCCACAGAGCTTTGGCTCTTTACCTGTCAGCTACATCAACTCATTCTGCTAACTCTGGACAGAATCCGACTCCAAAATGTATGCATTTTTGCTCATCTATCTTTATTCATGTTTTTATCCCATTGTAATATCATTGTTGACATATTTTCATCCAAGTTCTAGAAAATCAGATATTAAAGTCACTTCCATAACTGTCCTTGTGGATTTTAGGTGTGGAACGTTACTGTAACTCACACTTTCCGAATAGACAAGGCACGAAATCAACTTGGTTACAAACCCAAGAAATTCTCATTCGCTGATTCTGTGGATCATTACCTTAAAACAAGACCTACTTGCCACAAAGATCACACGTTCCTTAAAATGGTGTTTGCTTTTGGCATTATGTTAAGTTTGATCATTCTTTCTTTCTTCTAAAATAAAAAAACTACCTTCCTGTTCCAGAAAACCTAATTTTCTTTCTGAGTATTAATGATCTGGTCATAGTACATTCCTCGATCACTATGGACTTTATTATTCTTATTTATTATGATGATGTCGCTCTGATTTCATTTAAAACAAAACAAACAAAACCCACAAAAGTGAAAACACAGGACACATCAGGAAGTGTTCCCAAAGGACAATGCAGTGTCACAAAATCAAAGGAGTTCACTGCTAACAGTTGCAGGAATAGTTTTAATGGATCTCCATTAATGGATTGCTTCATGCTGAGAATGATTTTCTAAAAATGATAATTCAGGAGGGTAAGAAATTGGAAGAGGAGGAACTATTGTAGGACTGCAGTGCTGTAACAAGTCCAGTAGCTCCAATGAAGAAAAGGTTGACTAAACAATTCCTCTGATGAAGCCACTGCTACAGCTACTGTATGTTAGTATGAGGAATTATGAAGACCTGGGAAATATGAGAAGTATATACATATAATATGAAAAAATATGAAAAGGAAATATTTATAAATAAGAGGTGGTGAGAGGACTGAAGGTCATATTTATGTAAAATAGTTTTATTGTTCAAAAGCTTTGTAAAAAGGTAATAACATTATGTGTGTTTGTAAATTAAGTAATATCCTTTCAATGCAATAATAAATAATAACTGAACCAAATACTGTTTTGAAGGAGTCTGTGGGAAGGGGGAGGGTGGGCACATAAGACCTTGGAGTTCGGCAAGCTGTTACTGCTACCGTCCCTTGTAAATGATGTCCAGTCACGCTATCTGTAATCCTGTACCAGGGCTGGCACGCTCTGTTCCTTCAGCGAGTTGCCATTTCAGGGCGAGCAGGCAAGCCAAGCCCTAAGAGCCGAGGGAGGATCCAACCTCTCTCTTTTCCCCCTTCTTAAGACTTACCTTACTTGCTTCTTGGGTGGATCGTAACTACGTGAGCTACATGTGTACTACATGTGCACATACCACGGATTTTCACGTTGTTACCTGTTGCAAGGATTTTCTCAGGGAGCAGCTTTGCTCTCACTGGGGAGCAGCGGCTCCCTCTGCACCCCACTTGGATCAGGAGAGCTGGACCTGCCAGGGCGGGTCACAAGAGAGTGATGGAAAAGCTCTGCCATCTGATTATCTCCACTGTGTATTTATCGTGCCTTTGTGTTAGCATTTTGCAGGATTTTTAAGAAGAGTATGTTTATGGAGACTCTCTCATTGTATCTTTAAATTTACAGGGTACACAGGAGAGCTAACAGCAACCCTACAAGAATAAAACGTTATAGGTAAAACACAATACACAGTGACAGGAAAATGTGTGAGCAACCACAATTACCACTGCAGGTTACATAAGCAAAGATTTGTTTCACTCTGTGGGTTTTTTTTCTATTTTTTCTTCTTTAAACAAATAGTTCTGTGTGGACTCAAAGCAGTAAAGCCTGTGTCTTACAGATTTGCATTTGGAGATTATCCTTATCCATACAAACTGAGCTCACACTGTACATCTTCCCTTAGCAGGGGGACTGCTCAGCCCTCTCTCCTATTCCTGACTACACATTGTCAGGAACTTAAACTCAATATATACAAGACCTTTATCCGCTTAGTCAAGTTTGATTAAAAGTTCACAGTTTCTCAATACAGAGCTGCAGCTGACTGACAAACAAGCAAGCACTGCAGGAGGTATGGTGGAAGCCTTGTTTCCCTAGAAATGAAGGATGGAAACCCAGAAGTATATAGTTACTTCCCAGCATTTTAACTATGCAAACATTTAATTTGCTTTAAATTAGTTATTTATGAGTCTCCCATATGTTGCTTTTATTCGACTAATAGCTCAGGACTGCATCCTGGATTACACTAACACTTTTCAGAAGAGACGTCGAGCAGTTGACTGCAGCCCAGTGAGCAATGCAGGCTGTGGCCTTTTTTTGGATACTCCTCAGTAAAGACTAACCGAAGAATTCTCTGGCTTTGCGGTTGCAAGTAGCCGTGGAGTCGCGCCATTCCAGTCCTGCAATGCCAAGCCTCTGGTTTGTTATTTCAGGTAAGATGCTTTTTATATCACTGTTACAACAGTACTGATTAATACTAACTGGCTTCATTCAATTGATTTATTGTTATTACAAATCCAGTATTTGAAGTTTTAAGACAACTTTTAGTATCAGTTTGGAATAGCCAGCTGTCTTGTTTCTGTCAGTCTTTACTGAGTCTTAGTTTAAGCTGGCTATTGTTCGAGTTACTTATGCTCTAACATAATTGCAAGTGTCTCTTTAAATGATTAAAATTTAATATGAACATTCAGACACGACACAGCTATAACGGAAGAGGTAAACGTGTTCAAAGTTTAGTTTTTGCCCGGGATGGGTAACTCTGAAATTCTGCAGCTCCTGACCCTTTTCACATCCTTGCAGGCACGAGTGACCACGGAGCCGAGCAGAGACCGGCTGCCGGCTCAGGAGGGCAGGGACCTTGCTGCCTATTTGTTTATGATTCTGTTTCCTCTTCAGGAATTCCGGCTGTTTTGCAGGTGTTGCTGATGCTCTGCATCTCTCTGAGCCATGTCCCGCCACCGACGATCCAACCGGTAATCAAGAGATGGTGTGTTTTTCCGGAACAACCTGTTCCACAGGTATCTCAGTGCGGACCGAGCTCTAGCCACCGACAGGATGCTTTCCTGCAGTGGTCGTGGCTGTATGAAGACACATGGAGGTAAGAGCCACCACAGGATGCTGTGGCAACCCAGGGATGCTGTGGGATGCCGTGCGCTCCTAAGGATGCTGTGGGATGAGCAATATCCCAGGAAGGTTGTGGGATTCCAAAGCTGCTGCAAAATGAGTGGGACCCCAGGGGGGCTCTGGAAGGAGCAGGACCCCAGG